AAAAACGGCCTGAGTGCGAGTCGCTGCGAAAAATGGGGTCCCTTCGCCTAAGCGAAGCAATAAACTGCATGAGAGCCAGAGCGACTTGGAGCCGCCCTCTTGCTGAAAGGTCAGCAAGCTTAGCAATCTACTGCCAACCGGCGGGGAAAGCTGAAAACACAAAGCTGGCAGAGGTCGAAGGGCCAAAATCTCTGCTCTACAACCACTCTGTGAATCTATCGAAAATCAGTCACCACCGTGGTCGGCCACTTGCCACATGCCCAACAGTCTGCGCTTGCGTACCAAGTTGCACTGTGTCCTGGCACGGTGTGAAAAAGATTCAAAAGGCAAATCGAAGGTAAGTTCCCTGGCTACGCCGCCCCAGGAATGTCAATATCCAAAAACGCCTTGCTGGGCCAGGTGGAGGCACAAACCTACTAGGCTTGAGTTATGGAATTCTGGATTCAAAAATTGAGATGGATGAAGAGAAAAAAAAGCAAAGCATTCGTTCTGAAATAATTTTGGCAGTTATCCGAGTTTCGTTGTGTCTGCCTTCTGGGTTTGGGGATCAGAAACGCATGATTCCACACATATGAATGGTGCAGAGATCCAATCGAGACAATACGAAGAGTGCTTTGGCTCTTGACACGACTATGCAACGGCTATGAACCAACACGCCTGGCAAAGAGCGTAGAAATCTTTGTAGCCTGGGCGAATCGCAACAGAAATTGCCCAAACCATAGATGCCCTTTGCTCCTAGTAGCGTCCTTGCTCCTAGTAGCGATGCCCTTTGCTCCTAGTAGCGTCGGGAATTGCTCAAACTCAAACCATAACTTTGTCGGTCTGATCCACTCCAGATTCGGTTTCATGGCTGTCCTTGTTTTGATATCCAGGCTAAACAAGTCTGCAAGGTGATCCGTTGCAAACCACTATCTTTGTTATTTTGAAAAATATACGTCAAGGTTAAACTTACATGCGTTTTTGCTAGGTTCCTCAATGTTTGCTTAACTTACAAAATAATGTCAATCAACTGGAACGAGATGTGTTTGGCGAATCTGGCAGGTAGGGCAGGGTAGTGTTGACATCTGACCAACCTAAAAACCAAGCGAATGCATGAGAAGCCAGATGCCCCACAAAGGACGTCATCTGGATTCATTTGGTTGGTAACTATCTTCCACAAGGTGTGCATATGAACACCTAATGGTTAGGTGTCTTGACAAACATATTGAACAACTCAAATTATCTGTTTCTTGGTTGCTCTGAAATAAAGGGAGCACGGTACCCATCTTTCGCTTTTCGATGAGAGCCATGTGCTGAGAGCCTGGCTGTTTGTCGTTGCAAGACTCCACATATTGCCACTGCTATCCACCAGACCACTCCACAGTGTCTGTCCGCTCGCCGGAGTCAGCCTCAGGCGTCTGATTTGGTCACCGTCTGGAAGAAGAACTTGCATAGCACTTACAGCACAAGGAGACAACTGGATTTGAGTTCTAGCAGCTCTTGTGGGTTTTGTTGCCATTCCTTGGCTCACCTTCTCGAGCAGGGCTCCCAACACGTCCACTGGGCAACCCTCACGTCTCATGGCTCATCGACTCCAGGTGGATCTTCACAACGGTTCCATCACTCACCACCTGGTGGATCAGCAATTTCAGCTTGACTTGATCAAACTTGACCAACCCCGGCAGCAGAGGCAAGGAACTTGCTATGTCCTCCTGTGAATGGAGATTGGGACAGGGTGTTGCTAATCGTTCAGTGTTCAAGCAAGGCACCAAATAGCCATAGCGCACTCGTACCAGACCTTTCACAAAGCTCCCTGAGACACTCGACAGATCTGCTGCTGTCACAGATGCCTCGGCGTGGTACTCAGGGGTCCAGACCAAAACCCGCATGTGGTGATAGGAGAGTCATATTTCTATGTTTGTCAGTTGGTTGGATAGTTCCTATAGAATCTTGTTGGGATCAACGTTCCAACGCAGATCAGTTTGAGTCGTCATAGATTCCTGAAGTAAAACATCAAAACTGGAAATGGGACTTTCTGGCTTCATCCAGCCTCATCTAGACTCACCTAGCTTTCATGTTCACGCTGCAAGATAGCCACTTGTAAGTCAAGGAAATGTTGAGTGCCTCTAATCTTTACAGCAATTCAAAGAAGCAGGAAATGAGCACTTGGCCACGTAGGACGACAAGACAATGCCAAAATGACAACTTGCTCCATCGGAGCCTACCAGGGCCTACCATGCCATCTTTTTCTGCGCAATCGCTCTAGAAGTGTTGCCATGCGAGCTTGAGGAGCGTGAGTGCCATGCACCTAAAGACAGTTGATCCACCCAACACCCAAGTCCCAGCAGCTGTATCGAAGCTTGAGAGGGAGAAGCGTACGAACTTCTTGTAGCTCTGCTCAGGGACCAGGAAGCCTCTATGTCGCAGACGCGGGAAGGATCGCAAATGACCACTGGAGATGCGTCCAACATGGACAGTTCTACTGGGATTCTGATCAGAATGCACAGATCGCTCATCCCAGAAAAATGAATGACAGAGAAACGAATCGCACTTTAAAGAAACAACGACATCTTTCAGAAAACCCTATGGCTATGGTCTATATAAAGACTCTGGTGACCTACATTGGACCTACATATGTGGGATCGCCTGGGTCCTTGGCCCAGGGCATCTCTTTCACTTTCCCTTTCGCCAAGAAACCAGACTGCCTGTACAAGACGGTCACGAAAGAGGAATTCAAATCATGTTTGTCCAAGAGTTAACAATAATATACAAACGCTGATAACTCGCAAATCATAGAAACACGAGAAAGCTGTCTACTTTGGGCATTGCTTTCTACAAGTTCTCAGTTGAGGTCAGAGATCATGTAGAACGTCGCACCACGTCACTATGAAAGGGTCGTCTGCGATTCGAGGGGCCATACTTGTAGTTGGTGAAGCCGTCCATGAACTGTTTGTACTCAAAGTTGGCACCACTGTTTGTCAGATCCAAGGACTCCACGATGCTAAAGGTCGCCTTGGGGTGCAAGTCGACATGTTTAGTGACTTACAGGACCAAACTATGCCAAAAAACGTACCACATACCACAACACGTGCTGTACGCAAACGTGTTTTTCTCATTGTTTCGAAATGTGCCTATATAATTAGTTTGTATACATATATGCACATATCCGCCGACCCCTCGGAGGGGGAGCGCGTCAGAGAACACTGCTGCATCCGGCGGGCAGAAAGAAACGCTCAGCTTGGGTCGGTTTTTGCGAGAAAAACGTGCATGTTCACAGGGGGTCAACAACTGCACTATTCGTGACATCGAGGACACGACTAGACGATGGACACCGGACGGATATCGGGGCGCCGGAGCTGCAAGTATGCAGGTTATGTGCATGATTGCAACATTTTGGCTAAAGCTGTCATAACTCGAGATGCCTTTGGTTGGGGGCGCTGACTGCCTTCCGCGCGGGCGCAAAACGCACGAGGCCGACCCTGCCGGCTGTAATAGCAGGAGGTCTACTTGGGAGTGAGCCTCTGGAGCTCGACTTTTGGAAGAGGACTAGAAGAGGATTTCTACTGCCGTCAGAAAGCAACGTCTGGAACTGAGAGAGTAGCTCTGAGGACGAGTTTTTGGTCGTTTTTTGTGTGGAATTAGATGG